CAGAAGAAAAGGTGCATCCAAAAGGAGGAACCGGGGCTCCTGATTCTCCATAAGAAGTGTGTTCATCATTATAGCTGCACTGATAACCATTTAGAAGGGACTGCAGAGGGTAATATGAAGACCACCCTAAAACAAAAGAAAGCCTTTTCAATTTCTAAGTATTATCACATTTGAACACCTTTCACAAAGGCAGAGATAATTGTTTGTGCTTAAGGAGGATTCCCCCCCCCACCCCCCATTGGTTGTGAGGCTTGAACTCTGGGCCTGGGCGCTGTCCCTAACTCTTCAGCTCAAGGCTAGTGCTCTATCACTTGAGCCACAGTGCCACTTCTGGTTTTCTGGCGGTTTATTGGAGATAAGGGTCTTACAGATGTTCCTGCCCAGGGTTGGCTTTGAACTGTGATCCTCAGATCTCAAGCCTCCTGAGTAGTTAAGATTATAGGCATGAGCCACTGGTGCCCAGCAGAGTTTTATATATCTAATATAGATCCATTTGCTAACTATGGTCTCCTCTAGAATGCCATTTTTGATATTTTCTAAGAGAAAAATGAAAGTGCACTCCTAACTTTGAAGTAAGGCACAGTTTTGGGTTTACAATCTTTTTTTTTTTTGGTCCGGTCGAGGGGCCTGAACTCTGGGCCTGGGCACTGTCCCTCAGCTCTTCAGCTCAAGGCTAGCGCTCTACCACTTGAGCCACAGCGCCACTTCTGGCTTTTTTTTCTTAATGCTTATGGGGTGCTGAGGAATCGAACCCAGGGCCTCATGCATGCAAGGCAAGCGCTCTACCACTGAGCCACCTTCCCAGCCCCTGGGTTTACAATCTTAATTACCAATTCTCAGTATACTAAGATTAGAAGAAGCAAGTAACCTTTACATATTAAAAAAGATCTCATCGGCTGGATGCAGTGGCTCAAGCCTATATAATCCTAGTTACTTAGTGGGTGGAGATTTGGTTCATCTCAAGTATCAATCAAATTCAGAGAAGCACCAAAAAGGAAGGTCATGGTCCAGGCTAGGCTGATCTTCAGTTTAAACCCTAGTATGGCCACAAAACCAAAGACATCTTGTCCCTTGTCCTACAAAAGCGTCATCATTAAACTATCAGTCTCTTGAGTGAAAACCTTGCTATGTCCTTAGAGTCTCTAAACCAACATTACTACAAACTCTAAAGTGACTAAGAACTACCACACATAATCTAGCAGTCAAAAGTGAAATATATTTATGTGCTTATAACAGTAATATATTCACTAAGAAAATAATAAAAGTTTTATGAATGTTTTCCTTACTGTGCTGTAACTAAGGGCCAGTTATAGTATGCTAAAGAGTATTAGAACAATCTTGTTAATGTGTACCATGGTCCTAAATGGTAAGCCCACCTTCAGAGATTTGTTTTTATGTTACCACGGAGGCTGACCTACCAAATTATGGGACCAAGAATGTTACAGGGCTGGGAAGGTGGCTCAGTGGTAGAGCGCTTGCCTTGCATGCATGAGGCCCTGGGTTCGATTCCTCAGCACCACATAAGCAAAAAGTAAAAAAAGCCAGAAGAATGTTACAGATATCAGGAATATTTGCACATATTTCAGTTGGTAGGCATCCTTAATCTTATAAAACCCAAAACCTATCCCCTCCCCCCGCCCCCGTCCCGGTTGTACTGGGTCCTGGTGCTTGCTAGGCACTACTTCATAATTTCAATGTCAGACAATAAAAACAAAGCTGTTAAAACCACTAAAAGTATGCAATAACCATTTATGTTAGGTTCAAAAAAGATTAAAAACAAAACCCTCCATTTTAAGTATAAATGTTCTTGTGTAGTGTTCATTTTAAAAAATCTAATTACAGAAATTCAAAAGTAGATCAAACTGATTATCATATGATACTCTGCAAAACTTAGTGTCTTACAATTAAATAGTAACTTTTCCACTTCTCCTCATGGACTACAACTAATACTCAAACCAAGACTAACCCTGAAGTAACTTGAGAGGTCCCTGCTTATTTTTCTATTTTTACAATTCCTTACAACACAATCTTGATAAGTTTCTTTAAGCTACTTTTGTTGTTTTTGTCTTTTTCTGGTACTGGAATCAAACCTAGAATGTTGTATTTGCTAGGCAAGCATGGGGCCATACATCCAGCCTACTTTTGGACTTTTACTGTGTAATAAACCTAACTTGCAACCACCACAAAACTCATTATTTACTCATTCTATAGCTTTAGACCCTGGGGTTTACATATAAACTTCCCAAGAAGTATACAGGATATGAAAGTTTTTAGAGAACCAATTTCTAAATGCTCAACTTACACACTTACACACACACTTCTAAAACTGGTCTGTGAAGGTGAGAACGTTGAGGTACTTCCCTTTCTCTTCCACCTTCATTACTTCCTTTCTTATACTTTACAGAAAGACATTCACACAACCCCATTTTATACCTTGCAAGGTATTTTAAAAATACACTTTCAAAATTATATTATTTCTACCAGTTGCATACAGATTACTGTAATTTAATTCAAGGGAAAATTTTAGCTCTTGAATTCTTATGTTCATATTAAACAGAAATAAATAGCTGTATAAGTGTATATGTGTAAACACAGACTTATTGGACACAGAGGAGTTAATAGGGGAGATTAGTAAAAACTTTTTAACTATACAATTATATTGATTAGAATATATTCTATGAGAGAAATAAAATGGAAATAAGGGGAAAAGCAATGGCAAAGAAAGGTTTGTTAAAAATAGATGACTATATAAATTCACTTTATTTATATTCTATTTAAAATGTAAATATTTACAATATGGTCAGAAATTCTATACATAAACTTGTAATATACATCTAAAAATACACATAAGAAGTAATCAAACTTCCACTGTGTAGAGATCACTGGGAACAATGAAGAATTAAACTGGAGAGAAGGAAACTAAGAACCCATTTAGGAGATATTTTGTAGTCTAGATAAGAAGGTATTAAGACCTAGGCTAGAGAAATGGAATGGTAAATACTGTATAGAACAGACCCAATATGTGTAAAGATACAACATCAGTGGGGATAAAGAAGATGATCAGTTCAAGAAAATTTAAGGGAACTTTCTGAATATGTAATAAATAATGAGGCAGATAAAGTCATATAAGTAATATAACAGGTCTGGAGGAAAAGTGAGTTCAGTTTTGCACATCTAAATTTGAGATGTCTGTCTTACTACCTGGGTGAAGATCAGCTCTTATAGAAATGAATCTAACATATAAGGAACAAAAGGTTGTAGGTAGAAGGATATAATTATGTACGAGAATAGGGAGAAGAAAGGGTGACACCAAAACTGAGGAAAACGATGTCTGCATAGACTTCCATAGGTAACATATAATAATGCATGGTTTTCAGTGCCTACCACATAGAATATTTGTGAATAGGAGGAAGAAGAAACCAGAGGAGCCCAGAAAAAAAAATCAGTCATAAAGGATGAATAGCTTTCCAATTTATCAGAGCAGGGTGCAATAAAACTAGGTGATTTAATGCTACAGACAGTTAACAATCACTGTGCCCTGCTGCCATTCCTGAGGAGGGCAAAGTTACTCAAAATTACAGTAGAGACAGAGAAAAAAAGCCATTTTGAGTGTAATTACCAAGAGGGAAGTAAGGATGGTACAGTTTTAGACGGGGCATTAAAAGTTAAAAGACCAGTCAACATTTCAATATCTTTTTCTTACACCCACTCCCCAAACAACAAAATGTTCTCAGATTCTTTTCTTTTTGTTGTCCACGTGGTTTCAAGGGGGAAGGAAGACAATTGGATATAACAGATCTTTAAACGTGCAAGATTTCATTTCTATCCACGTTAATCTAGATCGTTAACGTCTTTACTAGAGATTCAAGTTGGTGAAACCCAAACCCGAGCTCGTCTCTTGAATTGCCAAACGTTTTAACCTAAGAAGCCTAAGGGACTGTAGAAAATGAGTTTAATTTGTGCACAGCACCACGAGGCTGTCCAAAGACACTCCGTGAAGTAGAAAACAAAATACTCTGATTCCATTCCTCGACTACCTCTGGCAAGGAAAAACATCTGGAATAATTATAGTTCAATCTATTAACAATGGTCACGGGGGGGGGGCGGGGAGAGGTTCTCAGCATCTGTCACTCTGTAATTGAGAAATTTTTTTTTTATGACCAGTGGTGACGGAGGGAGGGGGGGAGGGGGAGATTTTGACGCTGCTAAAAGCAGATGTCTGGTCTTCTCCGCAGGAACAGAGTTCCTGAACAGCGAGGTCACGGTCACGGATGTGTGCAATAGCAAATAATAAGGATCACTAAGACTCTACAGTGATCGCACGAATACAAGCCGACGATCTCACACAGTTATTCCGAGAACGCATCTCCCCCCCAAACTCACACACCCCTCCATGCATTTTCTAGCTAACGCGCGATATTGACGTAAGCAGTGAGGGGCCCGGGAGGCCAGTCAACTCCACGTCCTTCCTTCGGCCTACACGACTAGTTTTTAAAAGTCCGATTGCGATTAAAAAGTGTCCGGAGGGAATGGAGGAAGAACTTTTCCCAGTAGTTTCGCTAACATTAACTCTTGCCGTCCGAGAATTCGGAAGGGCCGGGAAATGGATGGGAGTCGGCCCGGATCCCAAGTGTTTTTTTTTTTGGGGGGGGGGTGAGGATGGGGGAGGTGAATCCCGCCAGCCACGAGCATCATTTAAGACCGTTACTCACCATTCCTCGAGACGCCAAGCTGAGGCTGGCGGAGTACCGAGTTGAAGAGCATCTGGACCAGGAAAAAAAAGGCTCAGTTGAGAAAAAAGCCGTGAAAATCGGCCGCCACGTTCGGTGGGAACCGTGGACTGAGCTCTCCGCGGCACGACCCGTTAAGAGCCTCCAACTCCCGCCACTGTAAGCCCCGGCCGCCAAACTCCGCGCCAAACTGACGTCACGCCCTCTGATTGGCTCCCACCGCTGCGTCCGGGCGCTTCTGAGTCACTTCCCCCTTTGCGTCCCCGCCTTCTTTTTGCTCAGCCGCGGGAACTCAGGGTTCAGAAGCTCCCTGAGCGCCTGCGCGGGGGGCCCGCGGAGGCGCCTGCGAGCGGCGGGGACACCATGACGCATGCGTAATACAGCTTGACAAAGCGCGGAGGAAAAATCCGCGAGACGGCGCCTGGAGAAGATGGCGGTGTGGAGGGAGAGTTTGCAATCTTTCTGACTAGGCTAGTGGAGGAACTATTCGGGTCATGGCGTCGAACTCAACTAAGTCTTTCCTGGCAGATGCCGGGTATGGTGAACAGGAACTGGATGCCAACTCTGCTCTCATGGAATTGGACAAAGGTATTGGAAAGAGCGGGCTGAGCGGGCGGAACGCGTCGTGGGGGGGGAATGGCGCCACCCCGTGGTGGTGGCCTCGGGAGGGTGCGGAGGCGCATGCGCGGAGGTTTGCTGGGCGAGGAGGGTTTTGGCGGCTCCAGGAGGTTGCGGGCAGATTTCGGGATTGGTTCCCCACCAGCCGAACAAGTGGCGATCGCTCGTGAGGAGCCCGTTTTGACCACTGGAGGGCCCCGTATTCCAGTTTCTTAAACAGTGGCGAGTGGTGTTTTCTGAAATTGCTAGATGGTGAAATTATTTTTTCGGGACCTTCATTTGCGACGAAGTTTTCGACCAGTACCGAAGAGTACTTTATAGTGTGTTTTTGCTTTTCTTCTGTGTCTGTTAACCTGAGATTTACAAAACAGGTTAAATACGGTGGAGGCCATCCAAAAAGATGCGCATTTTACAGACGAGTTCCACGAGTTCGCCGTGTAGGGGCCGGGGGAGCTGGGGAGTTAGAGAGAGGTAAATTTTAAGTTCTGCTGAGTTTGTCATCCATAGGCAAGCAATCCAATTTCACGCTTAGTGTCTACAACGTGAGTACAATACCGGGCTGGCAAGAGTTATAAGTGTTACATAGCATAATGGTACGCAAAAGATGTATTTATTACTAAGTATTGAAGAGCTCGACCTCCCATGTTGGGTATAGGAAGCAAACAGGGTATTTATCAATAAAGAACTCAAGTGTTCATATGAAACCTTTTTTTCAGTGTACTTAAAAGATCTTTATTGTATGAGCGGACCATTTTATCACCTGGTATACAGTTAATTCTATATAGCCGGTGTACGATGGCTTTCGTAATGTGTAATGAAGAGCTGGACCAGAAGTCATAAGGATCTTTGAGCCACTTCTTGGTTCTCTGACTTGGACAATGCCTGTTGATTTTTCTTTTTGGTCGGTCTTAGGGTCTGAACTCTGGGCCTGGGCGCTGTCTCTCAAGGCTAGCGCTCTACCACTTGAGCCACAGCACCACTTCCGGCTTTTCTGCTTATGTGGTGCTGAGGAATCGAACCCAGGACCTCATGCATCAAGGCAAGCGCTCTACCACTGAGCCACCTTCCCAGTCTCTTGAGGTGTTTTTCTTTTTTTTTTTGGTTCTAATACTTGTATTGGGTTGGTCTAGGTAAGTGTTCCTGGGATTTTTTTTTTCTTGGGTGTGGTGGTGGGGCCTGAACTCTGGGCCTGGGCGCTGTCCCTCAGCTCTAAAGTTCAAGGCTAGCGCTCTACCACTTGAGCCATAGCGCCACTTCCGGCTTTTTTCTTTTTGCTTATGTGGTGCTGAGGAATCGAACCCAGGGCCTCAGGCATGCAAGGCAAGCGCTCTACCACTGAATCACCTTCCCAGCCCAATGTTCCTGGGATTTTGTCTTGTTTTAAGCACAAATCTTTATTGACGGAACAAAGAATACAATATTAATCGGACAATAGGCACAACTGTGGATTAAAACAACTTGCTGTACATCTGAAGGGAAGGAAAGCCATAATTTTAGGAACTTTGTATATGTAAATCAAGAAACTTCTGAAGTGCTCTCTAACTGATGAACATCAAACAGTTCTTTCCTTTTTTATTTTTTATTACTTTTTTTTTGGGGGGGGTCCAGTCGTAGGGCCTGAACTCTAGGCCTGGGCGCTGTCCCTCAGCTCTTCAACTCAAGGCTAGTGCTCTACCGCTTGAGCCACAGCGCCACTTCTGGCTTTTTTCTTTTTTGCTTATGTGGAGGAATCAAACCCAGGGCCTCATGCATGCAAGGCAAGCGCTCTACCACTGAGCCACCTTCCCAGCCCCAGTTCTTTCCTTTTATACAATTCCTAAAATCAGTGATATTCTTTCTTAAAGAATTTCTCATTCCTTTATACTTGAGACAGTCAGCCTATTTTTTTTGTACCTATATCTTTTCAGCCTGATTTTTTTCTTATCTTTATTTTGAGCAATTTCCTTCCTAAAAAATAGTTTAAACATCTTGGATAGCTTCCAAAGCAAAGAAACAGGCAAGCAAACAAGCACTAAGTCAGAAAGTCAGTCAAGGTGAATACAGACTAGTAAACTAAACCAGCTTTGGCAAAACAGTTACTCTGGCTCCCTCAAAGACCTGGAATGCCACATTTAGGTTGCTCCACTAGTGCCAAATCTTGTTTGTTTCTTTTTCTTTCTTTCTTTCTTTTTTTTTTTTTGCTGGTCTTTGGGCTTGAACTCTGGGCCTAGGTACTGTCTCTGAGCCACTTTGTATTCAAGGCCAACACTCTACCACTTGAGCCACAGCACCACTTCTGGCCTATTCTGAGTAGTTTATTGGAGATAAGAGTCTCATGGACTTTCCTTCCCTGGCTGGCTTCAAACCAGGATCCTCAGATCTCAGCATCCTGTGTAGCTAGGGTTACACGTGCGAGCCACCAGCGCCTGGCTCCAAATCTTGTTTCTAAAGGATTTGCAGTGGTCTACACTAGGAACTAGTAGACCAGATATTTCATGATACAATACATACAATGCTTTAGACTTGCATTAGGACCTGACTGTGGCTTCCACTATTAACATTTATCAAAGGTGAAATTCGTAAAGAATTTTGTATAAAATTCCAAGACAATCTTTAATTTTGGACTGGCATTAGTTAGGCACTTCTATAACACTAGTCATACTTACTTCATAGAGAAGTTTGGTTACTGAAAGCTGAAAATGCAACATTCCAGAGACATTAAGTGAGAATAGATAAAAAGTGCAAACCGCAAAACTACTCTTCCAAGTAAGAAGGATATTGATAGGCATAGGTTTGGTGCCAAGTAGAACATAGGAAATTCTGATAAGACAAAAGCTAGCTAGCCACAGGTGTGGCTCATGCTTATAATCCTAGCTGCTCAGGAGACTGAAATCTGGAAGCTTGAGTTTCAAAGTCAGCCCAGAAGAGTCCAAAAGACTACCATCTCATTCATTGGCAAGAAGCCATACTGGAGGCATAACTCAAGTGGTGGACCTTCAACCATGAGCAAGCAAACCAGTTGAGGGTGTAAAGTTTTAAGTTCAAACCCAGGTTCAGGAGTAAAAAGAAGGCAGAGGGAGAGGGAAAGCTGAAAGGCTCAAGTGGGTGGTGGGTTGGGTGGCAAGGAAGTAGGAAGCAAAGGATATATAATACCAGGAGTATGCAGGGAGCCTCACTGGAGGGAAGGTAGCAAAGCTATATCCTGTAAGAGTTTGCAGACTGGTCCTTTCTCACTTTCTCAAGACTAGATGGTGTCAGCAGCAGAAGAGGGAAAGGTGATATAAATGAACCCTGCTTATATATCAAAGGCAGCTTTGTATGGACAGAACAGGTTTGGGGTTGTCATGCAATCGCAGTAGTACTTGGAGAAGGGGGAATGATAGAATGGAAGTAGAGGCTGCTATACGGGAAGACTTAACAATAGTTCTTAAATACTGAAAGTAAAGTGCAGTATGCTGCTTTAGCTATTGACTGGTGCTGGTCCATTCATGTCTGCTCTTTTTATTATCCTGAATGAGTTGGAAATGTCAGAGTTCTCAAGAATCCATGGATTCTGGTCCTTTTACTCTGAAAAAAAGTCATTGCTTATTTCCTTAAAAATGAAAGAAATCGGTTGGGAAGGTGGCTCAGTGGTAGAGCGCTTGCCTTGCATGCCTGAGGCCCTGGGTTCGATTCCTCAGCCCCACATAAGGAGAAAAAGCCGGAAGTGGCACTGTGGCTCAAGTGGTAGAGCGCTAGCCTTGAACTGAAGAGCTGAGGGACAGCGCCCAGGCCCAGAGTTCAAGCCCCACGACTGGACTGAAAAAAAAATGAAAGAAATAATCTTGCCTAACTTTTGTGATTATAATGAAACATTAATACTTGTAAAGTGGCTTTTGCTGACACAGAATAAGCATCTAAGGCCTATATATTATCATTATCATTTTGATTAACTGCCAAAATTTTGACTTATTTTTATTTAAACTCATATATCATTTTCATTTGGAGGGGGGGGATCCGGTCGTGGGGCCTGAACTCTGGGCCTGGGTGCTGTCCCTCAAGCTCTTCAGCTCAAGGCTAGCGCTCTACCACTTGAGCCACAGCACCATTTCCGGCTTTTTTCTTTTTGCTTATGTGGTGCTGAGGAATTGAACCCAGGGCCTCATGCATGCAAGACAAGCACTGTACCGCTGAGCCAACTTCCCATCCCCTATCATTTCTATTTTTTCCATACTTTCTACTTGTTTTTTTCTTTGTCATTTTGTTTTTACTTCTTTACATGGGGCATAGCCTCATCTCATTGGCTTCATTGTTATTATTTTTTAATTTTTAATTTTTTTGGTGCTGATCCTGGGGCTTAAACTCAGGGTCTCAGGGTTAGGGTGTTGTCCCTAGGCTTCTTTTGCTCAAAGGGTAGCGCTCTAACACTTGAGCCATAGCTCCACTTCTGTTCTTAAGCTCATTTACCCTGATGGCCTTGAGAAACAAGAGTCTCTTTTATCTTGAGTAAAATTGACAACAGAAAAGCCAAAACATTTCTCTCACCACATTTAAAAATTATCTTGAGTGTATTTCTAGTCATTGTTGAAACAAATTATTGTGGGTCTTTTTTTTTTTCAAGAGAAGGAAACACATATTCTGTCAAGGAGCTCTTCTTTATACATGGTCTGTTTCCTACTTCACTTTTTTCATCCCAACTCAGATGAACTCACTACAGATAGAATTTTACTGTTTGTGTCTAATTGGTAGTGGGGGGGGGGGAGTCAGTTATTGCAGAGTTTTGTCAAAAACCTCTTTTCCCAGCATATATACCTAAGCTACCTCTATTCCACTCACCTCCATCCTCAACCTTAACCTTCTTCTTCCCTTTGTCCTTCACTGCCCTGTGTGAAGACTTCGATACTCCATTGGTAGTTACTTAGACTATCTTTATTGGCACTATTTTTGGTAGGGAAAAGATTTCTGGAGCTTCCTTGGTAGTTCTTTTATGTGTGTATGGAAGCAGGGAGTGGGTGAGGGAGGGATATGTTCTAAGCATCTCAATTAGAAATTAGAAATTTGAATTTTCCCACAGAAGCATTTATTGTTAAGTATTATTAGTTTTCAGATTACTGTCAGTGCTGATAGTACTATATTTTTTCTATGAGGAAGTATGTTCCAGATACCAAATAGTGGAAGTTGCCTGCACAGATTTATTTAGTGCTTGTCTTTTGTACTGAAATATTGTGGCACCTGGGAAAAAGCCTTCAGATTTTCTTTGTCACTTTCTAACAATAAGCAGAGGGTACTGCACAGACATATTCTGTTATTTATTTTGTATGGAGATAGAATTAGCAGTTTGTGAATGCTGAACTACCAAAAGAAAGAAACATTTGAAAATGATGTGATTAAATCTTTAAGTGTGTTTATTTGTTGGGTTTTATTTTTGTTCTTTGCTTCTTTAAAATCAGGCTTATCGAGGTATAATATATATATATATATATATACACACACACACATATGTTAACATTTGCCAGATGTATACAATCATGAAACTATGACCACAGTCAAGATATTTCCATACCCTGGCAAGTTTTTTTTTTGCCTCTTTGTAGTTATTTCTCTCTCTCTCCAGCCCCTGGACACCTTTGATCTGTTTTTGTCTCCATAGTTTTACCTTTTCTAGAATGTTATATAGAACACATTAAATATGTAGTCTTTGGACTGGCTTCTTTCATTTAATCTAAAGATTTTTGAGATCTTATATGGTTAAAATAATCTGATCAAAATAGGATTTTATGACTCATACAAAGGGATTTTTTCCCTCTTGTTTATGATACTTAAAAAGGGAGAGACTAAAAGAACAATTCTCAGGGAGAATACATTCAATAGATGGGGTATATTAACCACATACTGAATGACTGATTTGGCTTAAAGTCAATTATTGAGGTGTAGTTGTTGAATGAGGATGGAAGCAGAGCTATGTCTATATAAAAGAAATTGAAGTCTGAGATGTACCTTTTTATAAAAGGTTCTTTTTTTTATTGTGAAAATACTGTACAGAGGGGTTACAATTACGTGGAAGATAGTGAGTACATTTCTTATCCTCCTTTGTTTACCCTTCCCATCCCTTCTCAGCCTCCCCCTGCCCCCCTCTTATAAAAGGTTCTTAAAGGAGATGATTTAACTAACACAATGGATAATATAGAATACTAACAAGTGGAAATTGGAATCTTAGACTCCATACCCAAACTTTGAGCTTCCACATAGCAGGTCTAATCACTTGTCCCTTTATGACAAATAAAGAGACATGGTAAGTGGAAAAAAAAAAAAAAGAAGATTTATTATGGCCAACTCACGGGAGGACAATATGTAGGGTTTTTTTTTTTTCCCAAGTCATTTTCAGGGTACAGACAAGTTTTAGCTTTAGATAGTCAAAGAACTGGGGATAAGGAAGAGAGTTCTGTGTGAATATTAAATAGTCATAGAGGTCAGAGATAGTAGCAGGTAGTCTCCCAGTATTTTCTCTCACAATTGGTCTGGTGGGGCCTGGTTGACCATTTTCCTATACCTTAATTTTGAGGGTTCCTGAGGAGAATTATTAATAATTGACATCACTTAAGGAAAGTAATCTGGTTCCCCAAAGTTATTACTCCTGTTTGAGGATGCACCCACATCTTTATAAGAGCGTGTGTGCGTGCGTACGTGTGTGTGTGCCTGTGCGTGTGTGTGTATGTGTGTACATTATAGGTAATTGTTTCCATGGCATATGTGTGCACTTGTGCATCATCACCTTCAAAGTGAAACAGAATACCTTAGAGTAAAGACAAATTCGAAACGAAGACGGAGATGATTTTTAGCTAATTTATGAGCCCATCTATAAGGAATCAGTGTTTTCAGCAAAAGCAACTTTTAAACATCTTTGTTGGTGTTGGCTGGAGAGGATTCAGAGAATATCTGGAAGGCTGGCAGAAAGTACGGAATCCTAGTATAGCTTGAGCAGTTGGTCCTTGGAAAAGGAGTGAACAGAGAACTTATCATAGTCTAAAATCTGTCAGAATCTTGTTTGTATGTTGTCAATTGCTTGAATATTACAGTAATGCATATGCTGTTTATTTTGTGTGTATTTGGAATCATTTTAAAGCAGCTTAATAGATCTACCCATGTCGTTATATGAATCAGTAATTCCATTAAAAAATTACTGAGTAGTAGTAGTAGTTCATTGTATAGATGTACAACAACTTGTTTGTTCATTGACCAGTTGATGAATGTTTGGGTTGTTTCAGTTCTGAGTTGTTATGAATGGGGTTACTGTGAGCATCTACATATTGATCTCTGTATGTGTATGTTTTCATTGCACTTGGGTAAATATCTAGGATTACTGACTGTATGGAAGGGTGTGTTTATCTTTAGTTAAAAAAGTACTGGTATTTTCCAAAAGAACTATAGTTTTACATTCCCTTCACCAGTATATGAGACTCACAGTCCACCTGTATCTTCACCAGCTCTTGGTATTGCCAGCTTTCTTTTGAATTGTTTTTGTCATTATAGTGAGTAGTGGTTTTTCATTTTCGTTTCTCTGGTGATTTAACAGTGTTAAGCATCTGTTTATGTGTTTTGGTCATCCATATTTCCTACTTAGTGAAATTTCTCTTTAGGCTTGAAAAATTGGACGTTTTATTGTTCTAATAAATGTAGATGAAGTCCTGTATTAGATACATGTTTTATAATTGTTTTCTTCCCATATATGGCTTTTATTTCCTTGATACTATCTTTAGAAGAGCATAGTTAAAGTCCATGCTCTTCAAAAGACATTAAGAAAATTTTATTTAGTAGAAGTTAATTTATGACTTTTTCATTATATGAGTCATTTTTTAAAATATTTTATAAGAATTCTTTGCCTACCCCAAGCTCGTAACTTCTTACATTTAGGTCTTTTATTACATTTAGGTCTTACATTTTAGGTTCAATTAGAGTCAGTTTTTCTTTAAAAAAAATTTTTTGGGGGGGTCCTGTTGTGGGGCCTGAACTCAGGGCCTGTGTGCTGTCCCTCAGCTCTTCAGCTTAAGGCTAGAGCTCTACCACTTGAGCCATAGCACCACTTCCAGCTTTTTTTTTTTTCTGCTTATGTGGTGCTGAGGAATCGAACCCAGGGCCTCATGCATGCAAGTCAAGTGCTCTACCACTGAGCCACCTTCCCAGCCCTAGAGTCAGTTTTTATATGTAGTACAAAACTAAGGGTTGTAGTTCTTGTTTTTTTTCCTTATAGATATCTATTTTCCAGAATCGAAAGTTAAAATTAACTATGTTGGCACTTTGTTAAGTGTTACAAATGTTTTTTTTAAATTTAATTTTGTTTTATTTGTGAACATACTGTACAGAGGGGTTACAATTGCATGGGCAGGATAATGCGTACATTTCTTACCAAGCATTGCATCCTCCTCCTTTGTTTACCCTTCACATCCCTTCCCAGCCTCCCCCTCCCCCCCAATCCCAATCCTTCGGTCGGGGCTTGTCGGTTGTGGGGCTTGGGCGCTGTCCCTGTGCTCTTTAGCTCAAGGTGAGCACTCTACTGCTTGAGCCACAGCGCCACTTCTGGTTTTCTAGTGGTTTATTGGAGATAAAAGTCTCACGGACTTACCTGCCCAGATGGCTTTGAACCGCGATCCTCACATCTGAGCCTTCTGAATAGCTAGGATTACAGGCGTGAGCCACCGGCACCACTACTTTGATCTGTAGACCATAGATTGTAATTTTATTTTCAGTCAACTGAGGATACTTTCCTAATTTTCTTTCTGATTTCTTCTTTCACCTTTGGATTAGTTAGAAGCACATTGCTTAATTACTAAATATTAAGACATTTTTCTCTAGTGATTCCAATTTTATTGCATTATGGATTATATATGAGTGTTAGTTTATCAGTTTACTGATATATATACCATTTTTCTTTTTTCTTTTTGTCAGCCATGGGGGCTGAACTCGGTCAGTGCGCTGTCACTTAGCTCTTCAGCTCAAGGCTAGCGCTCTACCACTTGAGCCACAGAGCTACTTCCAGCTTTTTTCTCCTTATGTGGTGCTGAGGAATTGAACGCACTGAGCCACCTTCCCAGCCCTCATTTTCTTTCTTCCTTTTTTTTTTTTGTTGGTTGTGGGGCTTGAACTCTGGGTCTGGGCGCTGTCCCTCAGCTCTTCAGCTCAAGGCTAGTGCTCTGCTAATTGAGCCACAGTGCCACTTCTGCCCTTTTTCTGCTTATGTGGTGCTGAGGAATTGAACCCAGGGCCTCATGCATGTGAGGCAAGCGCTCTACCACTGAGCCACCTTCCCAGCCCTCATTTTTCATTTTAAATGAGTTTTATTTGTATTGTTGAGAAAAATTTTACTTTGCCATATGATAAGTTAATATTTGCTATTTTACCTTGCAAGTGCAAATTTGTAAATTGTTCTCTCCTTGCCATTTTTGATAGGTCTAAGATCTGGCAAACTTGGTGAACAGTGTGAAGCAGTGGTTCGCTTTCCCAGGCTTTTCCAGAAGTATCCATTCCCTATTCTCATCAATTCTGCATTCCTAAAGTTAGCTGATGTTTTCAGAGTTGGGTAAGTCTTTGTAAAACCTTTCCTGAAGTACATATTCATGGATTTTGTTTTGTTTTGTATTGTTTGTGGTCTTTTTTTTTTTTTTTTCTTGGTCCGTTGTGGGCCTTGAACTCTGGGCCTGGGCGCTGTCCCTCAGCTCTTCAGCTCAACTAGCACTCTACCACTTGAGCCACAGTACCACTTACGGTTTACTGAGTGGTTTATTGGAGATAAGAGTCTTAGGGTCTTTCCTGCCTGGGTTGGCTTTGAACCATGATCCTCTGATCTCAGCCTCCTGAGTAGCTAGGATTACAGGTGTGAGCCACTGGCGCCCGGCTTTGTGGTCTTTTTCTTTTGCCCTTAAACCTTTCCACATGGGTATCATTTTAGTGAGTTCATATTTCATTGTGTCACATTTTGGTGTCAAAGACTATCTTAGCAAAAATGAAGCAAATGCTTCTGAGGAACAAGATTCATTCCAAAATGAATCCCTTAATATATTCCTGTGTATGTTGGAAATTTTTTGCTTTGTGTAGATTGTTTTGAGAACTTTCTCACTTAATTTAGTGGCATATAACATGAGATGCAAGTCTGTGAAGTTTCTGAAGCAGGTAAGTATGTGAATACTCATACATATTCCAAATCTGATTTGACAGAGAAAAGAAGTGATGGAATTTGCTAGAGAAAGGAGGAAGACCATTGAACCACTTGGCTTTGGTTATAATGTGATTGAGGAGATTTAGTTTGGCTCCAGGGTTTTTCCTTATGGCATAGCTAACTTACAGCAGGACTGTAGATCATAGGTTACTGCTTTTACTCAGTATCCACCTGAAGTACAGACTTTAGGTAATTTTTTTAGTGGTGAGACAGAGTACAAGACTGAACCTGTTGTTAAAAGTTAATATCAGCATGACTAACCTCAAAATAAATATTTATTTCCTGAAGTGTCCTAATTTATTTATCTCTGGTTTTCCTAGAAACAATTTCCTAAGACTGTGTGTGCTTAAAGTTACCCAACAAAGTGAGAAGCATTTGGAGAAGATTTTAAATGTGGATGAATTTGTGAAGAGGATTTTTTCTGTGATTCACAGTAATGATCCTGTGGCAAGAGCTATCACACTCCGGTATAGCATTGCTATAGTAATTCACCTTATGATTCAGCTGTGATGTGTGTACCAAAAAGGCAATATATACTTCCTTTTGTCATTTTAAATATTAAAGATTGGTTTTTGTTTGAAAAAATGCTAATCATCCAGTAAATTCCAGTTAACATTTGTTGTACTATTTGGGTTCTTAGTTGTTATCAAACTTGAGTTTGGGTAGGTAAGAATTCTGATATAATAGCTTGGTTAATTCCAATACAGCTTAGTCTCAGCTTTTTTTGTTTTTTTAAATAAATCTTGCTCTCTCATTCTTACTATTTTCTGTCAGTATTCCTTCCTGGTTATGTATTCATATGTATGTGTATGTATGTGATGGTTTATATTTAAACTAATTGGGAAACACCAAATATCACTGTAGTTTCTTTAATCTTTCCTTTTTTTCTTGTCATTTAAAGATATTTTGTTAAAATTTCTCTTTGTAAGCTTTTTTTTTTTTTTTTGTCAGTCATGGGGCTTGAACTCTAGGCCTAGGCACTGTCCCCCTGAGCTCTTCAGCTCAAGGTAAGCACTCTACCATTGAGCCACAGTGCCACTTCTGGCTTTCTGGTGGTTAATTGGAGATAAGAGTCTCATAGACTTTCCTGCTTTGGCTGGCTTTGAACCGTGATCCTCAGATCTCAGCCTCCTAAGTAGCTAGGATTATAGGCATGAGCCACTGGTGCCTGGCTTTGTAAGCTTTTTATCATGCTTGAATCATATTCTTTTTAGCTCTGCTGTTTATGCAATTATATGTATAATTTGGGGGATATTTTTGAAATTTGCTAAATTATAGCTTTCATTTCTGGCTTTCAGTGCCTAGACAATCCTCTTTATAACCACAAAGTCTAGGGTGTTATTTTTCCCCTGAGTTTCCTTTCTCCATGTCCATATCAGTTCTTCCTTGTTCAGAATTTAGTGACTTTTTAAAATCATCCCTATGCCCTTTGGATGAATAAATTCAGCACTGTGTAATATTTTAAAATATCTTTTATTTTTCAAAAACTTTATCTAAAGCCAGGCACTGGTGGCTTGTGCCTGTAATACTAGCTACTCATAAGGCTAAGATCTGAGGATTGCATTTTGAAGCCAGCCCATATTGGAAAGCCTGTGAGACTCTTATCTCCAATTAACCATCAAAAAGCTGAGAATGGAGCTGTAGCTCAAGTGGTTGAATGCTAACTTTGAACAAAAAAATATCAGGAATAGCAAATAGGCCCTGAGTTCAAGCCCCAGGACTGGTATACACACAAAAAAAAACCCTAAAAACTTTATCCTATAGTAATAAGTATCTTGAAACACTAGGTTCAATCTCCAGCACCACTGAAAATAAAAGAGAAAAAATAATGATATGCAATAGGACAATTTGAATTTAAGATGCACTTACCTCTAACAAGTTAATATATGCAAGATTTTTAAAAATTTGTGAAGGTAATATATATATATATATTTTTTTGGGGGGGGGTCCGGTCGTGGGGCCTGAACTCTGGGCCTGGGCCCTGTCCCTCAGCTCTTCAGCTCAAGGCTCTACCACTTGAGCCACAACACCAATTCTGGCTTTTTTCCTTTTGCTTATGTGATGCTGAGGAATCGAACTCAGGGCCTCATGCATGCAAGGCAAGTGCTCTACCACTGAGCCACCTTCCCAGCCCGAAGATAAAATATATTGAGCATAGTATTTTTATAAAATGAAACATGAAGTGTCTATGAGAATAGCTGATTTATAGGGTATTACATAATTGAGTGGCATAAGTCTAGAGGATATAAAAACAGAAAGATACTAAGTTAAACAAGTTATGAAAGTTACGGCATGCATTTAATTATTTCTGATGGGTCATTGGTTTAAGAATTATATGAGTTTTCCATGAAATTTTGTAATTTTGAGTTATTTTCTACAAACAAGGGTTATTTAGGTTTATCAGAGTAATAAGGAATTTTTTTTTTTTTGGGTCCTGTCATAGGGCCTGAACTCTGGGCTTGAGCGCTGTCCCTCAGCTCTTCAGCTCAAGGCTAGCACTCTACCACTTGAGCCACAGCGCCACTTCCGGCTTTTTTCTTATGTGGTGCTGAGGAATCGAACCCAGGGCCTCAGGCATGCAAGGCAAGCGCTCTACCACTGAGCCACCTTCCCAGCCCCGGATTAGTGGAATTTAAAGAATAAATGAATTTTATAAGTAACTTAGATCTAGTCTGAATGTGTATATTAACATTTCAATTTCCATTTGCCCCTCAGTAAATTACAGCAGTTGAGCCTTGCTTCATCTCTTTTTTTAAGAACTTATCAATTGGGGCTAGGAAGATGGCTCCAGTGGTAGAGTGCTTGCCTTGCATGCATGAGGCCCTGGGTTCGATTCCTCAGCACCACATAAGCAGAAAAAGCCAGAAGTGGTGCTGCAGCTCAAGTGGTAGAGTGCTAGCCTTGAGCTGAAGAGCTGAAGGACAGTGCTCAGGCCCAGAGTTCAGCCCCCATGACACCTCCCCCACACACAAAGAACTTACCAATAAAACTGGTAATTTTTAGGAATTTTTGAAATAAAGAACTTATAGGGGGAAGAGCCAAATTGGATTTTTAATAGTAACACTTGATGCAAAAAGTTTTAAAGGAAATTTAAACTAATTTTTCTTTTTGGTGGTAGATCTTGAACTCAGGGCCTGGGTGCTGTCCCTGAGCTCTTTAACTCAAGGCCAGCACTCTACTGCTTTGAGCTACTTTCCGGTTTTTTGGTGGTTAGTTGGAAATAAGAGTGTCATGAACTTTCCTGTCCAGGATGGCTTTGAACTGCAATCCTCTGATCTCAGCCTCCTGAATAGCTAGGATTACAGGTGTGAGCCACCAGTGCCTAGCTTAAACTAAAAATTTTTATATTCAGTTCAGTTGCCATTTAAAAGTTATAAGCCAGGAACTGGTGGGTTAGACCTGTAATACTAGCTACTTAGGGGGCCGAGATCTGAGGATCATGGTTTGAAGCTAGCTCCTGCAGGACAGTAAACTTACCTCCAGTAAACTACTCAGAAAAAGCCGGAAGTGCTGTGGCTTAAGTGGTAGTAGAGTGCTAGCCTTGAGCACAAAGAGCTCAGGGACATTGTCTAGGCCCAGAGTTCAAGCCCCAGGACAGGCAAATAAATAAAAGGTGATAATAGGGAAGAAATAATTTAAAGATGTTCTGCTTTTTACCTGATATGTTAAACATGTAAATTAAAACAACAATGGAAAACAAGCTGGAAGATACCCATTTGAAATATAGTACTCTGAGTTACATTTCTAGGAATATTTTCAGAGTCACAAAGGAGATTTTTCCCTGTGATATTACATAATAACACTATCAACAAGGATGTTTTAATATTGGTTTAGTATGATAAAGAAAATTAAATTAGTAACTATTTGTTATTTCTTCCAAAATTAAATGTAAATTATATTGGTTCTAGGGTTTGAACTGAGGGCCTCATGCCTGCATTTTATGATTTTGACCACATCCTTAACCTGCTTTTTTGCTTTCATTACTCCCCCCCCCCCCCCTTGTGGATCTTGACTTGGCCTGGGTGCTGGCCTTGCGCCTCTTTGTGCTCAGGGCTAGCACTCTACCACTTAAGCCATACCTCCACTTCTGAAATTAAATATAAATTAGAAATTTAGACCTTTTTATTGTCTTGTTTATATGAGCTCAACTATAGTACTTATGTCCAGGTGATTATATCACTATAATGAGGTGAGAATATGTTGGAATCCTAGATTTTGTTTATTTCAGTGTTTTGCAATTTTCCAAAATATATGCCTTCCTGTTTGCTCAAGCTTTGCTTTTTGGTTTTTTTTTTTTTTGGTCCAGTTGTGGGGCCTGAACTCTGGGCCTGGGCACTGTCCCTCAGCTCTTCAGCTCAAGGCTAGCACTCTACCACTTGAGCCACAGAGCTACTTCTGACTTTTTTTTTTTTTTTTCTGCTTACGTGGTGCTGAGCAATCGAACCCAGGGCCTCAAGCATGCAAGGCAAGCGCTCTACCACTGAGCCATCTTCCCAGCCCCAAGCTTTGCTTTTTGTAGTTGATATCACAAACATATTTTTGTGTCCAAACCTATACTTTTACAATATAGTGTATTGTTTTCCAAGTTTTACTTTCCTTTCTGTTCTTGATGTTGAGGGTAGATATGAAAAGTATATCAGTATAGCTGTGGGGTATAAGACTGGGAAGACTTACTTATTTTACTTTTTAAATCTGCTCAGTGGTAAAAAAAAAAAGTCATATTCTTGATTCTCTACTAAAACTTTTCCAGGCAGCAGTGCAAATTGGTAGTTTCATGCTTTAATAATTTAACTTTGTTTTCTAGACCCTACTTGGTACCTAATGTTTGTTTTTAGAAATTTAGCTTGTATTAGATAACCCATTTTATCATTTTGATACATTGAAATATATAGAAGTATTTAGGTTTTGAGCTACTGCTTGATTCCTGATTAGTTTAATTAAGATTTATTAACTCAAGATGTATGAATGATCTGCAAACGTAGTAGGATAATCTAATTGCTTTGTGTTCTTTTTTTCCTGCCTTGGAGTTTACTGTGTTTACATTCTTCTTGGGTTTCTCTGTTTCTTTAGGATGTTGGGAAGTCTGGCATCTATAATTCCTGAGAGGAAGAATGCTCATCATAGTATTCGTCAAAGTTTGGATTCACATGATAATGTCGAAGTGGAAGCTGCTGTGTTTGCTGCTGCGAACTTCTCTGCACAGTCAAAGTAAGCATAGGCCTTTTAATAATTCAGCTTCCCAAGAAGAGATTTTGAAGAAATAACTGTATTTTTCAAGAGGTTTACTTGTTGGGGAAGTAAAACTTAAATACATAAGATAGAAAGGTTGCATCAAATATTGATTTCCAAAAGGACAAGATCAAAATGGATGAGTTTGGGAAAGCTTTATTGGATACAGCTTTGTCCATTGTGGAGTCATCCACACATATGCACATCTATGATCCTAAATAGTTTCTTTCTTACCTCTGATATTCACCTGTTTTGCCCTTGAGCCATGAACAGTTTGATAAAGACAGTAACTTAAAACGAATTTTAACATATTCAGGATACCATGTCCTTAAAATCAGGGAAACTTTGAACATGGCTTCATTGCTATTTTGACTTGCTTATTTGTAATTAACTATGTGGGTTTTTTTGTTTTGTTTTTTGGCACTGGTCCAGGGGCTTGAACTCATGGCTGGGGTGCTGTCCCTGAGCTTTTTTGCTTATGGCTAGTGTTCTACCACTTGAACAACACCTCCATTTCTGGCTTTTTAATGGTTAATTGAAGATACAGGTCTCACCGACTTTCCTGCTCAGGCTGGCTTCAAATTGCAATACCCAGATCTCAGCTTCCTGAGTAGCTAGGATAGAACTGTAAGCCACCAGTGCCTGGCTATTCAGACCCAGAAGATCCACTTCTGGAAACTTACCTGAGGTATTAGCAATTTAGGTTGCTATTTTTTTCAGATACTGGTTGTAATGAAAAAGAAACATACTGAAATATGTCAGACTAGTAAAGTGGTATATAATTACCATTTTCTTTTTGTTTATTTTCTGCCAGGCTACATGGTCAGTTTTAGTTTATAATCAGGTGAATGAATAATCAATAGCAATTTAACAAGTTCAGGATTCTTGATCAAATTTTTGAAATTTGATAAAATCAGCTTTTTTCTGATTTTAATTATGCATATTTTTATCTTCAGACTAATAAGATTATTCATTAGAAAAGAGTAAAGAATAAAAAACAAATATTTTGAGAAGACATCTGAATAAATACAATTCTTTGCTTTGAAAATTTTTCTTAGAGTTATTGATATGAGAGAACTTTTTAAAACTGCTTTTATTGAGTTGGAGTGATTCCCATAAATAGTAGTTATGTGATTACTACTGTCAAGGTCTTTATAATCTGTTAGATTAAATATGTACATCCAGTAGTTATAAAAGCTTTTCTATGTCGAGTCCTAAATTTGGGTACATTCATTTATTTTTTTATTTACTTATTTATTGTGGGTTGTGGGGCTTGAGCTCTGGGCCTGGGCGCTGTCCCT